TATTTTTTAACCTAAGATGAAGAAACTGCTGTTGAACTTTAAGAGCAGACCCTGGTCTGAGAGTTTGATCAGCAATGTTAATTGAAACGTAGTGTGTTATTTCACCTTGACTTAGGTCTAGTTTATTAAGTTTAAAAAGTGTTTTATCTGTATTTGTTATCCATTTCTGACTTTGATGCTTTATATTTGTACTCTTGTGAAAATCTCTAGATCACTGTCTGTTGGTACCGATATGTGGGGCAAAAATTGATGATATAGACTCAGCCAAGCACACGAAGATATAACAAGATCCAGGGGCTGAAAGTTGAAGCGAGACAAGTTCAGAATGGAAATAGGGATAATATTTTTTTAGCAGCGAAAGTAATTAACAATTGGAACAATTTACCAGGTTTCATGGCAGATTTTCCGTCATTGACCATTTTTAAATCAAGATTGGAGGGTTGTGTTATTGATATTCTCTAGTTCTAACAAGAATGGATTTAAGGAATTCCTGTCACTTGTATTAAGCGGCAGGTCTGAGAGCTTATCATAATGATGACTGTCAGTTGTTTGTTGCCTGTGTTCTCGTACAGAGCTGTCCCAGTACAAGCAAGGGAGCTGAAGCAGGAGGCCTCCACTGATCTGCCCAAGAAGATCACAGACCCATTTCAGTAGCAAAGGCATTTAGCAGGTTTATTGTTGATAAATCACACAAAGATACTCTTCTGAGACTCCTCTTTATTCAGATGGTTTATATAATTTTTTCCCTTCCATATAAACAAATTACATAGTGCCCTTCTGACATGGTTTAGTTACCACCCTTTGCCTTGTATACTCTAGGACAGGGGTGGCCATCCCATTTAACAGAGAGCCAAAAACAGTGGTGGAAAAAATGCGAAGCGCCACACCAGAATTGTCAAGCAAAAAAAAAAAGCCCCCCAGAACAGAATTGTCGAGCAAAAATAAAAAAAAGGAGGCTGCCCATTTAAAAAAAATTAAAAAAGAATGGCTGCCATCTTGGGCTCCATTTTTTTAAAACCCCACAGTTTCGACCAGTAAGCACAGGAATGCTGGGGAAAGTGGAGCTTCGTGAGCCGCACTTTTGGGGGGCCACAGCTGGTCTAGGGCAATCAAAACATTTCTCTCTCTCTCTCACCATCATCCTGACCTTATCTTTAAGAGGAGCTATTGTGTCCCAGTACCATCCTCAGGGAGCATACTTATATCATACCTTGGTTATTGGAGTATTCTGGCACTAGCTGTCTGGAATGTGTTTGTGTGACTAGATACCAATACCAATCCTGTTTCTGCCAGGTTCTGTAAATTTGCAAGCAGACATGTGTGGTAACAGGAGACCTGACTTTTGGTCATAGCTTGACTCTTGCTAACTGCTTTATCTCAGCATGGCCTGATTTATACCAGGCCCCTTATAGCAGGCCTCATATTTCAGGCTCTCTTTCTACAGTGGTTACTTGTGGCTTTATAATCTTTGAAAATGCACTGTAGCTGCAAAAATGGGGATTTGGCCACCTACTTTTAAATGTTGGCTTTTGGTAACAATATAGGAGCCTCCTAAGCATGTTGTTTAGGTAGAAAACATATTTTTAAGTTGAGTTTCTTAATATTTTTCCTGAACTTGTTCTTGCAAGTGCTTTAATGAAGAATTTTGAGAGCACGTGCCCTATTTAAATTACTCCTCAGCAGATAATATCAAAATTAATGAAAGTGTTTGCAGTGATAACTGTTAATACTTGTCCTTTTTTAAAGTGTTAACCTGACATGTTTTTTTCCTTCATATAATATACTTCATTGAATTATGCCAAATGGAAATTAAAACATCCAGAGGTTCACTAGGGCCCTTGTTTGATAAGACCAGGTACAAGAGGTTCTTTCGAAAAAGAAAGTAGTCTAGACGTAGTTCTTTCGAGAAAAAAACCCTTTCTTGAAAGAACCATGTAAACCTAATTTTTTTAGGAAGAACTGTTCATAGTCTTCATCAATGTGACTCATCAAGTTTACTTCAAAGGGGTAGGCATGTTAGACTGTAACTTTAAAAACATTGAAGCTCATGATACCACACACACACACACTCTGCTTTTTTTGTGACAGTATGGCCTGGAACGGCGTACTGTCACCTATTTTCCCAACCCACAGAAAAGGAATGGGATTTCCCTGATATGTACTGGCACCTATTTTCCTGGGGTGGCTCAGCTCCTGACAAAAGCATGCTCGTGACACCGCAGAGTTTTTTCTTATAGCTCCCAGCACGGTACTGTGGCTCTTAAAGGGGCCATGACTGAATTTTGGCCCCCAGCACTTTGTTTGTTTTGCTCAACAAGTTTTCCCCAGAGTGCCAGCACCCTTTTTCTTACAAAAAACAAAACAAAAGATTGTGTGTGTATGTATGTGTATATATACAGGTCTACTCAGTGTTTTTGAAGTTTAATTCAGTTCACTTCTGCTGAGAGAGGCCTTGCTCCCAGAGTCCTCTGTTATTCAGCCACGTGTAAATCATGTCAAGTTACTTTCACCTGTTCATTATGATCACACCCATTTGGCACAATCTCAACAGCCTCTAGATAAATCCATGGTGTGCCTACGTCCTGAATACTGTGAGCAGATGTGGTCACTCCATCTCAAAAAAGATACCTTGGTATTGGAAAAGTTACTGAGTAACTTAATTACAAACCAGAGCAGAAGTAACTGAATAACCAGCTACCTTTTTACATCCCTGTCTCTCATGTTGATGTACTTACTCCACCTCAGCCAAAGGCAAAAGCAGTGTTGGCTGAAGAGCTTCTCCCACTGACATAGCCTGGTGTAGACAACATCTTAAATCCATGCAACTTATATTACTCAGGAGAGTGGCTTTTTCACACATGGGTGAGGAAGTTACATTGACTTTAGTGTAAAAAAGCCTTTGATATCTTGGTATTTGGTGGCAGCAGCAGAGTGGATTTCTGAGTGCCAATGCTGCCCAATTGGTGCCCAAGGAAGCAGAAAGGAGCCTAAATATCTTTGTGGATCTGGCCTTAAATGTTTGAAATTGTAATTATGTGGTAGCTCTGTCATCTCAGAGAGCAAATGAAGAATAATTTTTATTTGTTGATAAAATGCTAACAGGCTTAGAACAGAACTGTATCACTTTCTATGAGCTGATTTTATTTTTTTTATTTTTTTAAATGTATGAGCCTGACGCTTGTGCCTAAAAGGGCTCCTGGTCTTTGTCCAACTTCTTATGCATCCCATCTATACTTTTACACATTGTTATTTTTAAATCTTGTAACCAGGTGGCCCATCCAGAAGTTGCTGAGAGAATAGCTGCCCCAGAAGAAGCTCCTTCCTTCTCCTCAGAAGAACGTGGTTTAAAAAAATCTCGAGATGTATTTGGTTTAGATTTCGGCATAACAACAGTTAAACAACAGCCCACAGCAGATTCTGAGGTAACTAGAATGTACATGGATAACAAATACTGCAAACTAAATTCTATTCCAGTACAGGGAGAACTCAGATTCTAGGCCTTTCCATTTTCTCTCTTCAACTTTTTCCTTCTTTCCTTAAAAACTAATTTGATCCATTTTTCATTTTACTTCTAAACCAGGGGTGGCCAACCTGTGGCTCTTGAGCCGCATGTGGCTCTTTGCTCACAGAAATGCGGCTTTTAAGGTTGCAGCTTGTTTGGAGCCGCATGCCCGCTTTGTGCACGCACCCCAGTTCCTGGAGGGAGAAGTGTGTGGCGGTGGCAGCTCTGGTGAGACCCAGGCATTGGGTTAGAATCGGAGGGACCTGGGGGTGCCTGGTTCTGGGGCAGGGGGAGGGCATTGGGTT